CTCATGTCTGTAATCCCAGCACTTTGGGAGGCTGAGGCAGACAGATCACCTGAGATCAGGAGTTCAAAACCAGCCTGGCCAACATGGCAAAACCCCATCTCTACCAAAAAAACAAAAATTAGCCAGGTGTGGTGGTGCAAGCACATAATATCAATGACTCAGGAGGCTGAGGCAGGTGAATCGTTTGAACCCAAGAGGCAGAGGTGGCAGTGAACTGAGATCGTGCCACTGCACTCCAGCCTGGGCAACACAGCAAGATGCCATATCAAAAAAACCCCTAAAAACTAACACACACACACACACACACACACACACACACACACACACACACACACATTTTATTTACAGAAATTTGTGGCTGGCCTGCAGTTAGTAATTTGCAGACTCCTGGTCTGACAGGAAGGAACATGCCCTCCTCTTTCCCTACTTCTCTTTCTATTAGCTGGTGCTATGATTTACATGTTTTTGTACCCTCCAAAAATTCATATTGGAATTTATTCCCCAATGCAACAGTATTGGAAGGTGTGGCCTTTAGGAGATAAGATTGAGTAATGAGGGCTTTGCCTTCATGAATTGGATTAAGTTCCCTTATAGAATGGCCTGATGGGGGAGTTCACTCCTTTTTTGCCCTTTAGCCACCATGAACACCCAGCGTTCCTTTCCCTGGAAAATGCAGTAACAAGCCACCCTCTTTTTTTTTTCTTTTTTTTTTTTCTGAAACAGAGTTTCACTCTTATTGCTCAGGCTGAGGAGCAATGGTGTGATCTCAGCTTACCACAGCCTCCACCTCCCGGGTTCAAGCAATTCTCCTGCCTCAGACTCCTGAGTAGCTGGGATTATGGGCATGTGCCACCACACCTGGCTAATTTTGTATTTTTAGCAGAGATGGGTTTCTCCATGTTGGTCAGGCTGGTCTCGAACTCCCAACCTCAGGTGATCTGCCCGCCTTGGTCTCCCAAAGAATTGGGATTACAGGCGTGATCCACCACATCTGGCCAAGCCACCCTCTTAAAAGCAGAGAGCGGAAATTTGCAATGTGAAGGAACTGTTCTGAACATTCTTCCTTGTGCATTTGGTGGGCTCAGCGTTTTTGTTTCCTATGATATCTGGTTAGTTCTGTCTTTCCAAAATTAGGGAATAATAAAATCTGCTGATGTTCAGTGTGGTATTTCTCAGGTTTACTTGACTATGTGGAAACACTTTCATACACCTTTTTACTGAAACCTGCAACACCCCAGTCACTCTGGAAGTCATCAATGGGGAAGAAATGAATGGAACCTTGGTGTTTTCCTTCCTCACAAAGAAAATTACAGATTTTGAGGAGACATGGAGGTAAGAGGGATTAATACTTGAAGAGTTAGTTATTTTGTAGAATTTTCTTCAATTTTAGTTTGTCTGATTTTATCTATGTTTTTTATTTATAATTATTTTTTGAGGCAGAGTCTTGCTCTGTCACCCAAGTTGGAGTGCAGTGGTGTGATCTCCATCTCCTGGGTTCAAGTGATTCTCCTGGCTCAGCCTCCCAAGTAGCTGGGATTACAGGTGTGTGCCACCACACCTGGCTAATTTTTGCATTTTCAGCAGATACAGGGTTTTAACCATGTTGGCCAGGCTGGTCTTGAGCTCCTGACCTCAGGTGATCCACCCACCTCGGCCTCCCAAAGTGCTTGGATTATAGACATAAGCCACTGTGTTCAGCCTTCTTTGTTATTTTATTTTATTTTTTTTGAGACAGGGTCTCACTCTGTCATCCAGGCTGGGGTGCAGTGTTGTGATCACAGCTCACTGCAGCCACAACCTCCCAGGCTGATCTTCCCATTTCAGCCTCTTGAGTAGCTTGGGCTATACAGGTGCATGCCACCACATTAGGCTAATTTTTAAAATTTTTTGTATAGATGGGGTGTCGCTATGTTGTCCAGGCTAGTCTCAAACTCCTGGGGTCAAGCAATCCTTCTGCCTCAGCCTCCCAACTTGCTGTGATTGCAAGCATGAGCCACCATGCCCAGGCTTGTTGGTTTTGTTTTTTGTCTTGCTCTGTAACCCACGCTGGAGTGACATGAACATGGCTTACAGCAGCCTTGATCTCTTGGGCTTGAGTGATCCTCTTGCTTCAGCCTCCCAAGTAGCTGAGACTGCAGGTGTCAGAGGCATGTGAACCAGAACAACTCCATCTTGAATGGGAGCTGGGTAAAATGAGGCTGAAACCTATGAGCTGCATTCCTATACAGTAAGAAATTCTAAGTCACAGGATGAGGTAGGAGGTTGGCACAAAATATAGGTCATAAAGACCTTGTGTGATATTGTGCTGTAGCTGGCCTAGAGCCAGAACCTGAGCAACGCCATTTTATAAGATAAAGCTGTGTTTGGCTTCTGTAAATAAAGCTGCTAGCTTGCTCTGAAAAATGCCCACTATGTAAAGCTACTTACCTTTTCTTATCAGTACCAGAATAAGCAGCCCAAGCTAATGCCATCTTGGCCCCTGTGACTTGTAATAAGTAACTAAGGTCTGTAATTTTCACCTTAACCAGATAATGTGTAAACTAACGTTTATCTTGCCTTCTGTAAACCACTTAAGTAACAATCAGAGTGACAAAAGTCCCCTGGCCCTTGGAATGTCCGGAGCCCCCCTCACCCTCGTCTCCGCCCAGGGGGTGATTTGCAGAATCCACTAGCCCTCGGAATGTCTGAAGCCCTTCATCCCCATCCCCGCTCCTCACCCTCTGGGTCCTAAAACCAGGATGTGGTTTTTCAGCTTAAAAACCCTGCTCTCCCTGAGTTCGACGCCACAGGTTGGAGAGACGTGAGTCCTCTGTGGTCGTTGGCATAATAAAGACCCTGCAATTTGGCATACTTTTGTCTTGGTGTATTTTCTATGCTCGGTCTAGTATAACACTTGCTGATAAAACAGGTTGCAGTAAAGGAGCTGGCCAAAACCCACCAAAATCAAAACGGCACGAATTTTCACTACTATACTCCCACCAGTGCCACGACAGTTTACAAATTCCATGGCAATGTCAGGAAGTTACCCCATAAGGTCTAAAAAGGGGAGGCATGAATAATCTACCCCTTGTTCAGCATATCAAGAAATAACCATAAAGATGGGCAACCAGGAGCCCTCGGGTCTGCGCTGTCTATGGAGTAGCCATTCTTTTATTCTTTTACTTTCTTAATAAACTTGTGGGCTGGGAGCAGTGGCTCACGCCTATAATCCCAGCACTTTGGGAGGCTGAGGCTGGTAGATCAGAAGGTCAGGAGTTCAAGACCAGCCTGGCCAAGATGGTGAAACCCCATCTCTACTAAAAATACAAAAATTAGCCAGGTGTTGTGGCAAGCACTTGTAATCCTAGCTACTCAGAAGGCTGAGGCAGAGAATTGCTTGAACTCGGGAGGTGGAGGTTGCAGTGAGCTGAGATCACGCCACTGTACTCCAGCCTGGGTAACAGAGTGAGACTCTGTCTCAAAAATAAAAACCAAAAATCCCCAAAAACTTGCTTTCACTTTGCACTGTGGATGCACCCTGAATTCTTTGTTGCACAAGATCCGAGAACTGTCTCTCAGGATCTGGATCCAGACTCCTTTCCTGTACACAGGCACTTGTCATCACGCCTGGCTAATTTTTGATTTTTTGTAGAGATGGGGTTTCACTCTGTTGCCCAGGCTGGTTTCAAACTCCTTGGCTTAAGGAATCCTCCCAACTCAGCCTCCCAAAGTGCTGGGATTGCTGGCATGAGCCACTGTGCCCAGGCTTGTTTGATATTTATGATTAGACTGAGGTAATGCATTTTTTAGAATGTTGTGGCAATATCACAGAAGTGATGTGCCTTTCTCAATGGATCCTAACAGTAGATACACAATGTCACTATGTTTTATACCTGGCGATGTTAACTTTGATCACTTGTTTAAAGTGGTGCCTGCCAGGATTCTCCACAGTAAACTATTTTTTCCTTTGTAATTACTAAACATTTTATTTTATTATTTTTTCCTTTTTCCTCGAAATTGGATGTCATAAATATTTCATTTTTATTTATTTTTTTGAGAGGGAGTCTTGCTCTGTAGCCACAGCTGGAGTGCAGTGGCACGATCTTGGCTCACTGCAAACCCTGCCTCCCGGGTTCAAGTGATTCTCCTGCCTCAGCCTCCCAAGTAGCTGGGACTACAGGTATGCACCATCACGCCTGGTTAATTTTTTTTTTTTTTTTGTTACGGAGTTGCCCTGTCACCCAGGCTGGAGTGCAATGGCGTAATCTCGGCTCACTGCAACCTCCGCCTGCTGGGTTCAAGCGATCCTCCTGCCTTAGCCTCCCCAGTAGCTGGGATTGCAGGTGCGCGCCACCAGGTCCGGCTAATTTTTTGTGTCTTTAGGAGACACAGGATTTCACCATGTTAGCCAGGCTGGTCTGGAACTCCTGACCTCGTGATCTGCCTGCCTCGACTTCCTAAAGTGCTGGGATTACAGGCGTGAGGCACCGCCCCAGCCTCATGCCCGGTTAATTTTTGTATTTGTAGTAGAGACGGGGTTTCACCATGTTGGCCAGGCTGGCTCGAACTCCTGATCTCAAGTGATCTGCCCGCCCTCGCCTCTCAAAGTGCTGGGATTCCAGGCGTGAACCACCGCGCCCGGCCTAATTACTAACCATTTTAGTAGAGATGTTTTGAAACTCTGCATATGTCCTGTTTTGGCTTCAAATGCTGCCTCCTAATTTTAGCATCCATCGGTGGATGTGCAGAAGGCCGATTTTCTCAGTCTGAGCAAAATTTCTCTGTCTCAAGGAGCAAAACAAACAGAATTATTGGACAGGAAGAATGGTAGGAGAGAGCAGAGACCTAGGCAAGGGTCGTTCCTGTAAAAATCAGGTAAGTGAAGCCTAATAATCAGTACACTCGCACTACAAATAGAAGGATGGCTCAGGCAGCTCTGAGAGGTTTGCAATTAGGCGCGGGACCGGCTTCCTGGTTGCCCTGGAGACGGGGTCCTTTCTCGTTGGGCGTCGCCATTTGTGTCACCAGTCCTTGCCCAATGAGCGGCTGCTTAGTGGCGGGAGGGCGGGGTAGCCTGGCGGAGCTCTGCTCGCCCTGGCGCTCTGCTCTTTCCGGTCATGGAGGCGCTCGCCGCCCGCTTGTTTTTGCTCCTGTGGCTTGGGGCCTGTGCGCCCGCGCCGGGCAGCGCCTCCTCCGAGGCACCCTCGCTGATCAACGAGGAGGTGAAGCGCACAGTGGACCTAAGCAGCCACCTGGCAAAGGTGACGGCCGAGGTGGTCCTGGCGCACCTGGGCAGCGGCTCCACGTCCCGAGCTACCTCTTTCCTTCTGGCTTTGGAGCCCGATCTCGAGGCTCGTCTGGCGCATCTGGGCGTGCAGGTGAGTGCGGGCGACCTTCAACGCCGCTCCCGGAGCTCTTCCCGCCAGTCCCGTGACTTGGCCCGCGCCCCTCTACGCTTCAGGAAATGCCGAGACCAGGGCGGCGGGTGGGGCGCCCGGGGTCCGTGGGATTGGCTCGGGGCCCGGGAGGAGCCGGGGTGGCCAGGGTCCCCAGCGCTTCAGCGGCCAGTGCGTGCCTGCCCTCCCGCCTAGGCCACGTCAGCGCTGGCTTGCCCCAGTCGGGCCACTGCTCACAAGGGCAGCCAGTTGGATCTGCGGCCGACTTGCCTCGGAGCTTGCCCGCACATGGGCTGTTCTCTGCATCGCTCGGGCGCCCTCCAGCCTATGGAAAGCACCTCCCTTCTGTAAGGGGAGCGCGGCGGCCACCCGGCCCGGTGCTATCGGGCGCCAGACTTCATTTCTCACGGCCTAACGCAGTGGCCCAAGTGGAGGACAAATAAATGAGTTAAAATGAATTTCATTCTCTTAATTCACTGTCTGGTCCGTTGTAGGCGCTTCTTTCTAGACATAGAGAATCACCAGAAATGTTAACAGGTTTCGCATTTTTAAGTTGGTAATCACTTGAAATCACTATGAATGTGATGCATTTCTTAAGGTTGCTAATGAATGCTTTCTAAATGTTAAAACTCTTTTTTTTTTTTTTTTGAGACGGAGTTTTGCTCTTGTTACCCAGGCTGGAGTGCAATGGCGCGATCTCGGCTCACCGCAACCTCCGCCTCCTGTGTTCAGGCAATTCTCCTGCCTCAGCCTCCTGAGTAGCTGGGATTACAGGCACGCGCCACCATGCCCAGCTAATTTTTTGTAGTTTTAGTAGAGGCGGGGTTTCACCATGTTGACCAGGATGGTCTCGATTTCTTGACCTCGTGATCCACCCGCCTCGGCCTCCCAAAGTGCTGGGATTACAGGCTTGAGCCACCGCGCCCGGCAAAACTCTTTTTAAAGTTAGTTTAAGAACTCCTGCATGTAATGTAAGTTATCTTATGCTGTACATAAAAGGAAAGTCCAATTCACTCCCTTCCCCCTACTGCCTCTCATTCTTAAACTTCGGCAAGAAATGCCTGTGTTTGCCTTAAATGCTTCCAGGTATTTTAGCGATCACTAAAGAAACTGTTGGATTTGGGGGTAGAGGGAATACACACATACAGAGATTTTCTTTTTTCTTTTTTTATTTTAATAAGACGGGTTTTCTTCATGTTGGTCAGGCTGGTCTTGAACTCCCGACCTCAGGTGATCCGCCTGCCTTGGCCTCCAAAGTGCTTGGATTACAGGCGTGAGCCACCACGTCTGGCCGAGATTTGCTTTTTATTACTATTGTTATTAAACAATTTTGTTAAATGATTACTTAATTATTTGTTGAGAGAATAGTCATTATAGTGTCACATTTCTTCTAAGCACACTTCATTCTTTGAATATAGAGCTATAAAACTGGATTTATAGAGATTACTTTTCTGAAATGACTCCTCTTTTCATGCCTGTCCATGATGAAATAAAGTTTTACTGAAAGGCTTATGGAAAGATAGATCAAAACTTCATGTAAATTTGCCCTGCCACCTTTGAATATCTTAAATATTAAATCCCATTCTTTATTGAAGCCAGTTGTGATTTAATGAGCTTGTTACAGTATAACTGGACCACAGCAGGAGCTCAGCTGTTCTGCCCTCATGCTCGTGAGCTAGGTTAATGTACTTATTTTATTTTATTTTATTATTATTTTTTTTTGAGACAGCGCCTTGCTCCACCCAGGCTGGAGGGCAGTGGTGGGATCTCAGCTCACTGCAACCTCCACCTCCCTGGTTCAAGCAGTTCTCTGCCTCAGCCTTCTGAGTGGCTGGGACTCACGCCCAGCTAATTTTTGTATTTTTAGTAGAGACGGGGGTTTCACCGTATTGGCCAGGCTGGTCTTGAACTCCTGATCTCATGATCCGCCCACTGTGGCCCTCCAAAGTGCTGGGATAACAGGTGTGAGCCACCATGCTGGGCCCTATCTTGTTTTTATTTTAATTTTTCTCCCAACTGTACTGAGGTGTCTACCAAAAAAAAAAATTGAAACTTTTCTATTACATCATTAAATACATTTCTATGAGTATGCTTATTTGAATGTAAATGAGGAAAAGCATCAAGAAAGAGATCTTTGAGAAGTATATTTGGAAGTGTAATCTTTATGTGTATGTGTGTGATTTGATCATTCAGGAAAGTGTTATGCATTTATAGAGGTTTAATGCCACTTTGTAAAAGTAAGTCTTTGACAATATTCCTGTGTTTCAGATGAAAAAAATTGTTAACTGAGAAATGAAAATTCAATCTTTACAAAGTTCTGATAGTTTGAGTACTTTAATGTGGATGTTCTAAAGCAGTTGGTTAATTGTTGACTCAAAATTTAGGTGCCAAAAGACAAGAAGAATAAACTGGCTTTTTCTGTTGTAGGTGAAGGGAGAAGATGAGGAAGAGAACAATTTGGAAGTACGTGAAACCAAAATTAAGGGTAAAAGGTAAGCCAACAAAGAATATATCTTGTCTCTTCTTGTTAAAGGTTATCATGTCAGGATTGCGATCATGTGGGATCATAAACTAGGAGAGTTGCTTAGGAAGTGCCTGCTGTATTGGAGGGTTTTCTTTGTTTGTTTTGTGGAGAGGAGGTGTAGCCATGTTGCCCAGGCTGGTCTTGAATTCCTGAGCTCAAGCGATCCTCCTGCCTCGGCCTCCCAAAGTGCTGGGACTACAGTTGTGAACCACTGTACCTGTCCTAGAGGATTTTTTTTTTCTTTCTTGAGACAGGGTCTGGCTCTGTTGCCCAGACTGCAGTACTATGGCACCGTGTTGACTCACTGCAACCTCTGCTTCCAGACTCAAATCTTCCTTCCACCTCAGCCTCCACAGTAGCTAGGACTAGAGGTGTGTGCCAGCATGCCTGGCTAGTGTGAGTGTGTTTGTGTATTTTTAGTAGAGACAGGGTTTTGCCATGTTGCTCAGGCTGGTCTTGAACTCCTGGCCTCAAGCAGTTATTTGCCTCCCAAAGTGCTGGGATTATAGGCGTGAGCCCATCATGCCCTACCAAGGATGTTGTAATTAATGTATGTGATTATAAGCAACATGCTGTAATATATTCTGGACTCATTTATGTCTTGTCATTACTAATGCTGAAATTGGATTCTGCTAAGGAGTGGCAGTTTGTTTTATAGGAAGAAAGTAGTTACTTTCCATGTCAGATCAGTTCTCCCTCCTGGTTCCACAGAGCATGTGAGAACTCTAAGCTGTTTGCTGTAGCAAGTATCTTCCTATCTATGGTTGGTTGCTGTTCTGTTTGCAAGGGGTAGACAACCTTCTCACTGGATCTCTCACCCCTAAGCCTTCAGGGCAAAGTGGCAACTTATTTGAAGGTCTTCTGTGAAGTCTGTGAAGGCTGAGTGAGTTTAAATTCGCATAGTTGTCTTCCCTGACCTCAGCACCTATCAAGGAGCCTGGAGCTTCTTATTTTATTTTATTTTATTTCATTATTATTATTTTTTAAAAGATGGGGTTTCACCTTGATGGCCAGGCTGGCCTTGAACTCCTGACCTCAGGTGATCCGCCCACTTTGGCCTCCCAAAGTGCTAAGATTACAGGTGTGAGCCACCGCACCTGGCCCAGAACTTCTTATTTATTTATTTTTTTTGGAGACAGAGTCTCACTCTGTTGCTCAGGCTGGAGTGCAGTGGCCCTGTCTCAGCTCACTGCAACATCTGCCTTCCAGGTTCAAGCGATTCTCCTGCCTCAGCCTCCTGACTAACGGGGATTATAGACATCTGCCAGTTTTTTGTATTTTTATTAGAGACGGGGTTTCACCATGTTGGCCAGGCTGGTCTTGAACTCCTGACCTCAGGTGATCCGCCTACCTCAGCCTTGCACAGTGCCAGGATTACAGGCCTAAACCACTATGCCCAGCCCTTTTTTCTTACGTATGAGTACATCATAACATTTCCTTTTTTTTTTTGGGAGATGAAGTCTCGGTCTGTCCCCCAGGATGGAGGACCAGATGCAATCTTGACTGACTGCAACCTCTGCCTCCCAGGCTTAAGTGATTCTCCTGCTTCAGCCTCCAGAGTAGCTAGGATTACAGGCATCCACTACCATGCCTGGCAAATTTTTATGTATTTTTAGTAGAGACAGGGTTTCACCATGTTGCCCAGGCTGGTTTCGAACTCCTGACCTCAGGTGATCTGCCCATCTTGGCCTCCCAGGGTTCTAGGATTACAGGCGTGAGCCACTGTGCTTGGCCACCTTTTTTGTTTTCCGTGTAATCTTCATAGTCATCTTTTGTTGTTACGTTTAATCCTCCTTGAATTAGCGTTCATGTACAACATCCTCTCAGGAGCCACATTTTAGTGCATGGTGATTATCTTGCTTTTTCCGTTACAGCCTCTGAGTGTATGAAATAGGCATCTCACCAGCCCTGAGGCTGTCAGATCTGAGAGTTAGCTTTAAACAAGTCGCTATTAAAACTGCTTTCTCT